AAGGATCACGTGCAGAGTTCTGTGGACCGGGAGGGGAAGCCGCTGGAGGTTGCATATGGAGATTTAGTTTGCTGCAGCGGCTGCCCGAAGGTGTATCACCGCTGCTGCGAGGGGCTGCCGAAGGACGTGAAGAAAAGTTGGAGGTGTCGGTGGCATGAATGCTGTTTGTGTTTCCGCAAGACATCACAGTGCGGCAATATGCTGATTCACTGTGCCCGCTGCCCTACCTCATTCTGCTACGATTGCTTCCCCCCGGACTACTGCCGCTACAACGTAGGCGAAGACTACTACATGCAGCTAAGACAGAGGGGCATGAACGTCACCCCACAGAACTGGATTTTGCTCCTCTGCTCCAAGTGCAAAGCCGTGGAGGAGCAGCAGACCCGTCGCAGGCTAACGAAGGAAGAGAAGGACCACGAGAAGCTTATGCAGCAGGAGCTGCGGCAGCAACAGCGGCAGCTGCACCTAGACGGCGCCAGATTGCGGCTTGAGAAGGATGAGATGAAACACTTGCAGCGCCAGAAAGCAGAGGAGGAACGCCGCTGGTTCGATCATAAACAAGCAGTTGATAGACTGGATGAGGCGGCAGAGATCGCCTTGAGACAGGCATACCAGAGGCTGTTCCCTGCTGCTTTCCTCGCGGAGATCGAGAAGAGGTCGGCAGCAGCAAAAGCAGCACAGAGGGCCTCCCGAGAGGCTGCTGTAGCCGAAGCAATGAACGCAGCTGCTGCTGCAGGAGCAGATGGGCAAGCTGCCCTGGCAACAGTAGCAGCAGCAGCTATAAAGAAGGCGTCGAAGAAACCTACAAACCAACTGGCCAATATGAAGCTTCCTTCCCAGAGTCTTTCGGTTTGTGACAACTGTCGCTTTCCTTGTCACGGCGTAAAGGAATACCCAGGCCCCTGCTGCTTCCCAGATGAAGTCATCCAGAAGTTTGTGGCGCGCGCACGGCCCGCCTCGCAGTCAGAGCAGAGTGCAGGGGCGGGAGGCACAGGGGCCGCGGGTACGGCAGACAACATGATAGATCTGGAAGCTTCTCCCGGTGAAGGTGGAGTAGCGAAGGAGGGTTCAGACGCGTCGGCTTCGCCTGTCATTCCACAGAGTGCATTGAGGGCGCTCGCCAACTCCGCTGCCTTGTTGCAGGGCGGGATGGCGGAGGCGGGGGGCTCTGGCTCGGGAGCAGCTGCAGCAGCGGCAGCAGCCAGCGACCAGAGAGTGAAATACATGCAACGACAAGTCTGTGCGGCGTGTCACGAGTGGCGCATTGGGAAGCGCTCCCATACGCGGAAGCACTGCCCGACGCTCACGACTGAACAGCTTCAGGAGGTAAGGACAGCATCGTGTAGTTGTTCTTGCGTCATCACAGTGTGTTCGTTTTTAGTGAGGTAGCTTGCGTTTGTTACAAAACAAATGAAGCTACTGTTCCTGCATGCATGCTGCGCTGCAGTATGATGAACGGCGAGCTAAAATGCGGCTAGTGGCGGAGTTGCTGCTCACTAAGGAGCCCATCCCCGACCCAAACCCGGGTGCCTACGCATCGGCATCTCCCCAGCGACTCAAAGCGTTCTTCCAGCAGTATCAAGAAACGGTGAGGCGGTCCCCCTACACTTTTGGTTTTTGTTTTTTATCTAAAAGCCATGTTATTCTCTTTTATATAATGCGCCATCTCAATGCAGATGGTTGTTTTTGTTTGCCCATGGAAACTGCCAGCCATCGTCTACATGGGTTCTCAGTTTAGTGTTTAGGGTTTAGGTTTCATNTTTGCCCATGGAAACTGCCAGCCATCGTCTACATGGGTTCTCAGTTTAGTGTTTAGGGTTTAGGTTTCATAGTTTAGAGTGTAGGAGTTAGGGCTGTTGGTTCCCTCGATAGAGTATTTTCCTACGGCACGAGTAGCGCAGGGTTGCAAGAGCATGTCAAGGTTTCTTCTGTGCTGCCTGTTCTGTGTCGTGGTTGCAACAGGCTGATCGGATATTGGAGGAGTGCATGGTTGCTGCTGGCCTTCAACACGCGATCGCTTCGCGCTTCACCTCGACGAAGAAGGTTGTGCCGTCTCCTATTGGCCAAACTGCTGCCGCAGCAGGCCAGGGTTCTCAGACCAGTGTGCCCTCTCTGAGCAACGTGGCTGCAAGCAAGGACCGCATTTCGATGATTTTGAACCGCAGCAAAGAACTGTTGCTTCTCAAGCGGCAGACTGAATTGCAGGTCTTGGCGACGCTCTCAGCCGCTAATGGACGCGGTCCTCCCCCGAGCCTAGCAAACCTGAATAGTGACCAGAAAAAGCTTCTGCTTGGGGTTTCAGGGGAAGGGGAAAAGCCGCTTATGACCCCGCCGTCAGACACCAACAGCGAGGTTGAAGTCATAGGTGTCTCAAAGGCGGGTGCGCCTCCAACGGGCGTTTCTTCTGTGGCTCCGGGGGTGAATTGCCTTCCATCTGCTGCTCCAGCTGCTCCTGGAGCCGCTGCTGCCGTTCCTGCTGCGGAAGGTGCAGTAAAGGCGGCTGCCGGTAAACGACAAAGCATCGATGCATCGAATGGCGGCTCCCGCGGCACCACTGTCGCCCCACTTCCGGCTGCATCGAAGCGACAGAGAAGAACCGTACCCATGAAGACGGCGGACGCGGTGGCGGCGTATGTTCAAGCGGCAGAAATGGGCATTCCTGGTGCAGGGGGCTCTATCGCTGCATCTGCTGTAGCAGCAGCTGTTAAGCAGAAGTCGATCATTGACTTCTTCACCTCCAGGAACAGAGCGGCGGCCTCCGGCATTGGGGGACTGACGAAGCAGCCATTGCTTGCGGGGGCGGGGGGACAAGGAGCCTCGCGGCCGGGGGCAATGCCTGGAGCGGCTTTAGCCCCCTGGGGCGCGAAACAAGCCTCTGACACAGAGAGCGATTGATACGCTTTCGCCTTTTCTTCCTTGTGATGTAGAAACTGGCGGCGAGGGAGACACAGGAGTGGCTCCGCATTCGACTTCCGAGCTAGGTCAAGCGCCCTGTTGTTTGTATAGCGGCTCGCAGTTCACCAACAAGGGACGCTGAAGCAGTAATTGAGGGACCGGTGCATGTCAATGACTGTTTGGGGGCAACAACCACACAGGTCCGTTGCTCTCACGCCGTGCAGTGTTCATCTTTGCCGCTTAGCCGTTCTTCCCGGGTGGTTGTGCCTGATGGCAGGGAGGGAGCCTTGAGGCAGCTTTTGCTCAAGAGGGCACTTCCTCTTCCATCCCCACGCGTGTCCCGTCGGCAGCTGCGATATCCGCTTACTGCTGTTTGCATTTATGGGGGAGCGAGGGGAGGAAGGTTGTCTTCGATATTGTGCTGCTTCCTCTTGAGGTGGGCGCACGGAGCGGTGGCCAGACGCTACCTGTGAAGTTTCTGGGTAGTTGTTTCGACTGCCGGTGCGTCTGCACATTCGATTACGGGTGGCAAGGGGACGGTGAAACTTGAAATGGCCTGGCAGTGACCAGGATGTTTGCGGCCGCAGTGACATTTCAATAATTCACGACGCAACACAGCTGCGTGGCCACGAGTTGCATTAGATTAGTGCCAGGCCTCTTCACTTCGCAACAACGTGCAGCGCTGATCTTGTGGTTTGGTGATATTCAGTCCCTGTGTGCTTTAGTCAGTCAAGTAGAGCAACTCGTGCTAGTTTCTACAAACGGTAGGAGCACGGATACGCAAGGAGAGTACTTCAACGCCGACAGAGAAGAGGCAGCAGTGGGCCAGTCAGTCATTCGCGAGCCGCCCACATATGCGGCAGTGAGACAGTTGCGGTTTGGTGCCATAGCTTGAAGATAACCCATTTAACGACCAGTCAAACAGCCCCGAATATATCGAGCGAGTTGAGAAACTGCTAAGACATCAGCTGCTAGCGTTCACTCTTGAGAGACGTTCTACAGCACAACAGCAGTAGATTGCTGCTCAGTTCAGCCAGTTCAGCCTGATCTCCTACTCACCCGAGTTGTGGTGGCGGCGTAATGATAAATATATATATATATATATATATATATATATATATATATATATATATATATATATAATATATATATATATATATATATATATTGTCGAGCAGCAATAGTTGCCGTCTTTCGCCGCTCATCTAGACTACAATGCCGCGGCGGCACACACTGGTGGCCCGTATCAGAAGCCTACCTGGTAGTTTCTGTACACTGTGCCGCAAATAGCAGGCCTCTGATGCAACTCTGCATCTCTTCACAGCTATGAGCATGCACCTCGTCAGAACAACCACAGCACATTGTGTATCTCACCGCTGGAAGAATGCGGATCGTCAATCGTTGACAACCCGTCGTTATTTAGGTTATTCTATGCAAACACCCGCAAACACGTTTACACCAGCTCTTATCTACCAATTTCAGATGCAAGGATAGCTGAAGGGCTGCGCGATATGAAGCTTAATTTCAATGGGAGTCCTGGCGTGTCTACACAGCTCTTAGCGAAGGAGATGAGCCAGTGCAACTTCGTTGCAGAGTAACCAAGCGCTCACACGCCCCACCAAGTTCATGTTAAACTGTAAACAGCTTTATTTCAATTTATGGCGGTGAATATATGCCCCCAGGTTGGCCACAGATCCAGTGAGTGTTAGGGGCGAGGCAACAATGCCATGGAAGGGCCCCGCGGCCAATGAGCGCGCCGGCTGCGCATGCAACTTTGAGCAAAATCACAAGGCAGAAATACTAAGCCTCCCTTTTCCTAAAACGCTTACTCCTTACGTAATAGCGAAACCCCAGTAAAAGTGTGGTTGACTCCATATCAGCGCAAGTCTTGCAGCGCTCGCGAGCACCTGCGGGTCACCCTGTAGTCTTGTTTCATGGCACAAGAATCCTGAATACTTCAACTGCCTTCTTTCCAGGTACCAAGCAGCTTCTCAAGGTAGTACAGACTCTCAGTGCTCAGTGGTGTATAATCGAGTTGGGAGTTCATGAGTTCCGTGGAGTAATTACCTAGGAAACCTGAGTACGTTGCAGAGGCTCGGAATGTCATCAATTTTATTGTGTATGCTCCTGCCCTCTCACTTAGCAGCGGAATCAGGGGAGCAAAGAGGGGTGTGCAACTGTCGTGTACACTTGTCCTCCTCAGCGTAGCCCTGAACACACAGCAGAGCGCTAGCCGCCCAGTCTGTCACCATGATGTACCCACCGAGGCAAAGTGCCCGCAAGGACCCCTGGACAACCACGTAAGCCACTCAGAAATGATTAGTTGCTTCGCTGAATTCCACCAACTGAATAAAAATGTCCTTCACGGTACGCTGCCCCAGCAGCAAGAAGCATAAACTGTCACTGCGGCGATTTGGTTAGGGTTAATGCAAGCTATCTCAAGCCTAGCCGCTATATGGACGCTTCACGCCAACAGAAGCTGCTGCAACAGAAGAAAGAAGAAGAAAAAAATCATCACTCGGTCAAATTACAGAGCATGACAACAAAGGTTAGCTGGCTGCGCTGTTGTGCTTGATAGTGCAGTCTATACCGTTGAAACGAAAAACTTCTAACCCTAATAACGGCCTACAGCAGATAGGGTTTAGGGTGTAGGCTCTGGTAACACTGTACAAAACAGGGAGATTTGCTGCCATTTTGCTCCGCTCGCCGGAGATTTTTTTGGGGAAGGGAAAATCAATAAAAATCCCCAGTAGTCGGTTGCCCCTGCATATCTCACTGCAGTGCACACAGCACCGCCCACAGCTACTTCGTGCGCATTGCTTACAACTAGTTTCTTGTGAATTTCGGTACCCACTAGCCAGAGACGGATTGATGCTAGGAATGACCCATCCCGATTAGACAACGTTAATTTGGAGTAGGTATTGCACTTGAACTTGCAGAGGGCAAACGGATCGCCAGGCCTGGGTTGTAGCGTTGAAGCACCAGCAGCGCCGGCGGAAGGTTCGATACCTTCGACTTTAGCTCCCGAGCTACCTGCGGAGCCAAATGTAGGCGAAATCCACCTGCAAAATTCTCCTTAGCTACTGCTGAACCCAGGGAACTGTCTTTCCCCGCCTTCTCCCCCTAGAAAGCTCTTTTTCTCCATAGGGATTTCCGTGTGAACTGGTCCATTCAACATAGGGCATAGAGTTCACGGTTCTTTGCCAACCAAAGGTGTCACGTTGCCCGACTGTCGGCAAAACTAGCTGTGCAAATGTCGCATTCTATCACAGACTAATGATGCTGCTGATCGTTCAGACTGAGCAGGTTGCGGACGTGCCAGCAGAACCCACAGCAGAGCTGCAGACGCTGTCAAACGGTGACGATGCTGCTCCGCTACACCACCGAAAGACTACTAAGGAGCTTACTGAGGAGTTCAAAAACTTAAATGTGGGGGTTCACTGCTTCAGCCAGAGCCTAGAAGTGCAGCTCGTAAAATTCCTTCTTTTTTTGGTGGAACAGGAACATAAAAGGGCAACTTCTCTGACGATACCCGCAGAACTATGTGCAGGAGCATGAATGTTCCAGGCAATTCGACCTGCTCATGCCTGAAGGACCCCAATTTTCCATCTCATGCGCTGCACTATTTTTGCAGTGGGCAAAAGTTGACGAATACAACTCCTTCAAAGCGAAGTTAGAAGAGCAGGCGTGCGCAGCAGAACGCCAGAGGAGAAAGAACTGGCTACGAAATGAACTCGAAGCCCAACTTGAGGAGCAGAGGTGCGTGGGTTAGCAATTGCTGATGGAAGTTCTCTTCTGTACCTTCTCCCAACGGATATTATGTGGTACAGCTGCTGCAGAAGTAGGAATGAGTGTTTTGCCGCCGAACTACAAAGCACCAATTCCCACTTCTGCTATAAGCCCCTCATGCATCAAGGTGCTTCACTTCTCACTCCCCGCGGCGATTGTGTGTCTGAAGGCGACAAAAAGAAGCTGCAAAACTAGACGACCTCGAATGCGCAAAGAAGATGCAGCAGGACCTGGAACAATGGAAGTTCGTCCTTGCCGTAAACATAAGTTGCTATCGATTTTCACTAGTACAGCAGAGCCTCACGTTAATGGAACTGCAGCAGAATGCGTTTCTGAGTCCAGGGAGCAAGAACGCGCAAAGCAGAAGGTTGCATATGAAAAGATGCTGCTTCAAAAGGAAGTCCTTGATGCACAGATGCAAGAAAGGCAAAAGCTTGAGGAAGTGAGTAGCGGCGAAGTGTACGCGTGCGTCCTTTGTACGTGGTAGATCAACGGAGGCAAAATATGGAATAATAACAGTGTTCCAGCACCATGGAGGCACCGACGGGTGCAGCAAAGGGAAATTCCGAGATGAATTGTCTACAGGAATCCAAAGCAGAGCAGTTGCGGGAAAGTCGCGAAATCCTTGAACAGGTTTCAAGGGACATTGAAATCGAGAAGCGGATGGCGTTGAAAGCAAAGCAGCAAAAGGCTCGTGCCATGCAGGAAATCTTGGAGGTTCGTTTTCCGTACTGTTCATCAGTGGCGATGGGAAGGGTTGCGTGCCTTTTCCCTTTTTAGACACAGCTGCGCAAAGGGTGTACAAAGGGAGTAGGACAACGAGGGGTACCACTCAGTATGAGATTCATTCAATGGATTTGCTGAAGCTGCCTCCAGGTGACAGCTGCGGAACGGCGGCTAGCTGAAGCAAGGGCAAAGAAGGAACAAGAGGAAGATATGCGTCTTCTGAAGCTGAGTGTCCAGTTAGAGAAGGAAGCAGCCGAACGGTCCAAACAAGAGCGCCAGCTGTTACTCAGTTTGCATCAGAGCCGCGCCGACAAAATAGCCATGCTAGCGACGGTTGACAAGGCAAGGGGAGATCCTTAAAGCTTGATTTTTACCTGAATACCCTACACGCCGTTGTTTCAGTCATGCTCAGGTGCCTCACGACAAGCCACAAAACTGCATCTGGCCCTACATAGGAACTTTCACTTTTTTGAGGAAGCAGCACTGTTGCATCTTCGGGCGGCTAACGAACACCCTGTGTTGCGGCAAATTCTCAGAAGGAGTTGGCTACGCAGTATGCGCTGAAGAGAGATGCTGCTGACCAAGCCCGAAAGGAAGCCATGGAAAAGGAAGCTGCAGCCCGCAGGAAGGCGGTGATTTATGCATACAAACAGTTTATTTGCAGCAATGCCGTATTTAGGAGCCCCCCTGGCGTTTCGCCACTAAAGCAGAAAGCACCCTGTCCACTTTGCTGACGTGAGACTGCGCGTGTGCTTGAGGTGTGCCCAGGAGCAAATGAAAGTTCATGAGTTCTTGAAAGTTCAACAAGAAGAAAAGGAAAGGAGAAAAAAGTTGGAAAAGGAGGAGCGCTACGAGATACAGAGACAGCAGGAGCTCGATGCAGAAGTGCGCAGCCACAATACATACACAATATAGCCCTTTCTGGACTGCCGAGAGCACTCCGTGGAGGATCAGCTGCGTACGCAAAGCGCAGTTTCCTAATGTGTCTTGAATGCACTTGCAGGAGTACAAACGGAAGCAAGAGGTAGAGCTCCGCAGCAGGAGAGAACTCTGCAAGCGTCAGCAGGAGCTCCTCATCCAGCAGATGGAGGAACGAAAACTGAACAAGGATATTTTGGTGTGTATTATTTTTGTCGCAATCACCTTTCTCACAGCAGAGAAATATGCCATCGTATCTGTCTACTTCTGGAGCAAAGAATAAATCGGCAGTAGAGCAATTATACATCATACCCTTGGCGACGTGCTGTCAATAAATACGCTATATATTCACTTTGCTATTTGCTGTGCCTCTGCGCATTTATCCCTTCGGTGCAGGTAAGCCAGACGGAGATGAAGCTTAACCGGCGCCTCCTTGAGGAAGTCAACGGCTATCTGGCAAGCAAACAGCAACCACCGCAAGACTTCAGATCCACCGAATGCTAACATTTTGGTGATGGCACGCCTCGTCCGGCAAGTGCAACAAGGTTGATCACCGCCAGCTAAGCGCGGCTGCATTGTAACTATTCTGCTTACCGCTAACTGTCCAACTTGGAAGTTCGTTTTATAGGGTCGTAGTTGCTACTATGACAAATCAGCCTAAACTGAAGTCGTTGTAAGGTTTCTCGACACTCGACTGAATATAATTCACTCTGTATGTTATTTGTCTATGGAATTGTTGCGTGACTTCTGAGCAATAACTGCCTCATAAACCTTGTTAATAAGCGGTTCACAACGGTGTATTCCGTATGCCACCCCATACAGAAAGGTGAGCACTCGTGCAAAACGTCACAAAAACCCTAAAACCTTAAGACTCAAGGGCACTGGACCAGTATATGCTGGAGGTTCGTTTGAAAGGGTTAGATGTGTTCCCTCTGTCGAGCTACGGGACAAGAAAAACTTCACAGATGTAACCGAGGGAGGTCACTAGTAACGGAACATATGCAGCTTCGCCGCTGAATGATATTTCTAGAAAAGAAGATGAGCTAAGTCCGTTAAAAAGAGATGGCCCTAAATAGGTCACGACTAGGAATCATTCAAGCCGCGAATTCAACTTCGAAGCAATTCTCAGCTGACAATCCAATGGCCAAGGGGGTGATATCATGGGCGGTAGTGAGAAGTCCAGTGCTCCACCATGCAAGAAACAAGGAATGAGACGCTTACGAGTTGCACGCACAGACCGGGGACAGCTGAATTAAAGTCCTTGACAGCCATCCAGTGCACCGAAGAGTACCAAGTGGGCAGTGCTTATTCCTCATTTTTGTTGTTTTTCCTCGTAGGGGAGACCGAGGCGTAGCGTTGTTTGATCATGTTAATGCGCGCCATCTTGTAATGTAGATGAGTATTACCTAAAGAACCTACGATATTTTCAACTTTTGGTGGGGGGGGTATGTGGGAGAAGTCGAGGGGCTTGATGATTCGTCTGTTCATAGACTGCGTGGAATCATCGTTGTGAGAGTTGGGGTCGGAACGAATTTCTGGGGCAAGTGGAGCCTGTGGGCTCTTCGGAGGATAAAGGAACACAGTGGGGCCCTTTTCCGGGTCATGAGAAGGAATATATTCCCAAACATTAGGCATTGTTGTTGTGGTAATGGGTTCGGGTTCCGGTTCCTGAGGTACTTTATCTGGGTTCAAGTCTGTTGCTGTATCCGCCTGTGGCTTGGCTTCCAGAGTTGAGTCTGGTGCAGGTTTTACCACGGTAACAGTCCCAATAGAAGGTCGTTTGGGGGGTTCCATACCCTTCAATGCATAGCGCGCCTCTTCAATTGCTCGCTCAGCCTTTGCTTCCTGAACCACCATTTTCTGAATGACTTTGTTTGTTGCGTCCACCACATCCACCAGTTTGCTGTCGTCTTTAAGCGCACCTGCCTCAGCCGCCTCCAAAAGAACACCAGCCCTGACATCCTCCTCGAATTTTTGTCGCTCCTCGTGGAGGTAGTTGTACTTAGCCGCTTCTATGTCTTCAAGCTTTTCGTCTGACAGCGTTGGGGGGGAGCCGGAATGTCCCAAGACAACTAGGCTGCTCTGGTCTTCAGGCTTCAACGAGCGCCTGCGTTCCATCGAATCAATGTAAAAGAATGATTGGAACAGGGGAAGTGGTGCATGATTCCCCTTTTCATCATGCAACAGTTGAGACACGTTCACGAACTCTCCAGGTGCAGTGCCTGAAAGTCCCGGAATTCGGTATATCATAGTCCGCTCATTGACGTCATCACTGCTGTCAACTTTCTCTGCCATCTCCTCACACACTGATTCATCTTCTTCAAAGTCTAAATCCTGCTGGGCGCAGCGTTCATCAATGATTGCTTTCTCGCGTGCAATCGCCGCTCGCCGTTGACGGGTCTGCCTGCTTTTCTCTGGAATGGCTCTGAGGGGATCATCTAACATAATAAGCGGCAAGTAGGATGACGGCATCACCCCCTTGGGAGGCATGTATGCCATCTGGGCAGCCATACTCCCAGGAAACAGTTGGCGCCCCTGTACGGCAGCTTCTTGCATCTCTTTAGCGTACTGGTGGGCTCGCTGGACAGCCATTGAAGCATCGTTTATCACGCATTCATCTACACCAGCTAACATGAATTTAGCGAGAACTCCGTCTTTATGAGAGCTTGTCACATCTTGTATTCTGGCCCGAGCAGCGGCCTGCGCCTTCATGAACTCAACGCGCTCCTTTAGTCTCCTGTTCCGCTCCTTCAATGCTGCGAGGCGCTCTTCCTCAGCTTTTCGCCTCCTCTCTTGTTCCCTGGCAGCCTTCTCCAGTGACAGCTTGCGTTCTGCCTCCTTCTTTTCAAGCTCTTCTGCAGCTTGGATAATAGTGTATTGAGCAGTATGAGCATATCGGTGCAACATAGACAATTGCGGTAGATCGCCTTTTTCGCGGCACCGCCGCAAGTACGCGTGTGCCTGAGAAAAAGCTACGGATGCCTCATCCCACGCGCCGAGGCAGTCCTTGACTGTCTCAAGTCTCCCTTTACCAACCCACTCCTCGAATGTAGACCACCGCCCGTTGAATAGAAGGACCCTCATCAAAGAGGCTAACAAAGGTGCACAATCTACGTGAAGCGCTTCCCTTGTGGTTGACTCCACGAATTTTATGAAAACCTCAGCGTGTTTGAGCGATCTGTCGAAAATGGAGTCCTTGACCGTACCTCCTGCCCACTGTCCAAGATATAGTTGAACAAGGAGTAGATTGCAAGCCGCATACAACCAATGTTGCGTCCCCAAAACGGCTTCAATGCTTTTGATTAAGGAGCCGACGTCAACTGTCCACTGTGGCGTTGTGGGGAAGTTGAATTTGCTCTGCAACTCTAAGTAGAGTCTCTCGAAGTAATCCTCCATGCCAATCGGCATATCGTCGTCTGTGAAACGGCCTCTGCAGCTGCCGCAGACCCAAATACCGTTGCTGTTCCTCTGGCAGTACCTAGGAGGAGGTGCATCCACCTCTAGGGATCCATCCATGATCACAGAAGAGCCAGAGTAGGCGTTGCTAATGGAGCGAGACGTCTGCTCTTCACTATGTGAATCACTCTGACCCATTTCAGTGCTTCTGCTTCCGCATGAGTTCATAGCATAAATAGACAGCACCAATGATCCAGAATCATTCTTCATCTTGTTTGCCCCAGTCAACCTTTTACTCTTTTTTGATTCACAGTCAGAAAGTTCCACAGGTGAGCGGTCGCTGTTCGAAGCGGTGTCGGAACTGTCATTGGACCCTCTGGTTAGTTCGTCGCTAGCCAAAGAGCCTTCGCCGCCGAAGTCGCTGGTCTGCGAAGACAGCTGCTCTGCATCCGACATGACGGCCTCCGCCGCCTCCTCCGCTGGCTCGCTGGATGCCACGGAGCGCTCCGCCTCGTCATCGCTTGACTGCAGGGTTGCTTTGTTGCTATCCTCGTCAGAAGCCTGAGCAGAAGTGTCTTCGATGTCCGTGTTGATCAGCGCTCCAGAGATTTCGCCTTGCTTATCAGATTTCAGTTCGCCATTTGCATCCCCATGTTTCTCGTTGTTATCTCTACCCATGTCCTTCGGCGGGGAAGCAGCAGCACGATCTGCCTGGGTGTCAACGATCTTGAGCTTTATAGGGCGGCAGGAGGGGCAGAGAATTCGTCTTTCCTTATCATTCATAGAGCCACAACGGGCGCACTTACACGTGAAGCATTTCGTCTGCAGGAGCCGTTTGCTGCGGAAGGAAGCTGAGGCGTAAAGCTGGTCAATGTACGTCATCGATATTTCCTCACCAGCTGAAATGTCACGGGTGGCGAAATAAACCAAAAGCCCTTCCAGGTTCCTGTAGGTGACGTTCGGTTCGCAGGAGTGATTGAGCATGGCGGCCTTTGGGTACAGGCCCCAGCGGCCAGTGGAGGGCAACCCATGAGCATTTCGCTTCATCTTTGCAAGGAACGATTTGAATGGCTTCGCCAGCTCAATGCGTTTATTGGCCCGGGCCATGAGAATGCACCACAGAGACTCATCTTCCGTGAGGTCTGAATGGAACCCCTCAAGACAGTCCAAGGCTGCCTTTTGTTCGCTTGTGAGGTTCAGGAATGTTGTCCACATCGACTCAGACTCAATATCACAAGTTATCAAGGGCATTTCCACAAATACGACCTGACCTTTCTTCACTTGATCAATGGCGAAAAGCCCCTTGCCGCCTACTGAAGCGTCCTCGCGCGCCTCAACAACTTTGTTAGCAAAGGCTGCAAGCTCCTTCCTAGTTTTCTTGCACACTTCCAATATTTCCGGAAGGAATAAGACGGATTGCTTAGCTGGCATATCGTCTTTTGTTGTCTCCATCTTCACAGCTGGTGTATTCGCGCCTGAGTTTTCCTCTGTTGGATAGAAAATCTCATGGCAGAGCTTGCTGAAACAGGCATCTACTGGAGGGGGATCGGCAGGATGAGCGGTGCCTCTTTCAGCCTCCTCCTTTGACCACACATACCTACCCATCGTGTAGACGACTGGCTTCTGCAGTGCATCGTACACATCTTTGTCTTCTTTCGTATGAATCATGTTGAGATCTACCTTTCCGGGTGGTCGTTTTGGAATGCTTGCGATGAACTTTGCTGCTGCTGTGCTTCCCACTGCACTGGAATCTCCCTTTGAATCCCCAAACTTGTCTGTGTTGGAATTCATGATAGGCTCCAGGTATATTGGAGACGGTCTATGAAAAGCACTGTCGGGTTTGATGGCGCCGCTTGCGCTTTCAACGCCTGAGGATCTGCTGCTCTGCCGGCTTAAAACGTTCATAGCGCAGCCTACAGGGCGCACATGCTTGCTGCCAACAACCTCGATATAGTCAGGGGGTACTTCTGAAGTTTCCGCCGGTCGTTTGAGCACCTTGCCAGCATCACCGCTGAGACTTCCGACTCTGTCTCGAACAGGTCCCACAAAGGCCTTCGTCACCTCACGCACTGGAATGACTTGAGTGAACTCAGGACTTTGTTTCTTGCCGAGGTATGCTGCGGCTTGTGGGCCAAGTTTGTGGGGGCGGGCCGTAACAGGCCTTATGGGCGCTGAAGCGGGGGTGCTGATGACTTCTTCTTGGTGCGTGGGTTCCTGCGGAACTGGTTCAGCCCCTAGAATCTGAGCAAGCGTGTAGTCGGAGGCATGTCTAGCTGGGATGTTGAATTGTTGGAGGTTTTCGACAAGTTGCTCATACGGAATGTTCCCAGTTCCGTCGGCTGGGTTTGTCCACCGCTTGATGTGATCAGGAGCAACGGATGCAAAGTGACTCAACCAACTTTGCCCTGTGCATGGTTTTTCTTCAGAAGATTCCTTTTTTGCTGCTGTATGCGACGCCTCTTCTTTGGCGGCGGAGTCGTTGGCGCCCAAGACTTTGGCGACCAGCGAGCGGAGCCCAGACAGGGGCTCAGCACCAGCGGAGTCCATGTTGAGGCTTGAATCCACCTGAAAATGAAAAGCTTACTGGTTTCAATTGTTGGGAAGTCGGGAAGGCCCGAGGTTTTGAGGATCTAGGGAGCGCTAGTCTCCGGCGTTGAGCATCGGCAGTGCCGGCAAGAGTGCAACGGTTAGAGGAGCAATGCTGAAGGCACCGTGGGGACCATGACGTAGGAATAATGATAAAGAATGGGTATTCAGTACAAAGATAGTCGAGAAAAAGGAAAAGAAGTTGAAAGCACAGGCACTTGGTAGCCTGCAGCGGTGAGCCTCCCTGCTAGTGGCGAACCAGTAGCTGACCAGGCTGTTCAGCGCTGCCTTCAGAGTCAATCGGCGGTGGAACCTTTGCACATATGCATCGAACACTGAAGTTGTAAACTTGCATCACCTTTTCTGAATAATTTGGATGGTAACCGGCAGACGTTTTGCAGTACGCCGCCAAAAATTGTTGTTGCGTTGCGCAGTCGGAAGTGCTAGCGCCTGTCGGAAGCGCCTACAGTGCCTTGGATATCTTCTCTCGTAAGAAAAGTCCCACCAGACGCACTTGATTACCTTCATACAAGTATATATGAAACTATTCTTCAGTCACCGAGAGTCTTCCTCTTCTTGCCCCTTGGCGCACAGATGAGACCCCGGCCTGAGACGCTTGTCACAGCCGGCGGCAATTGGCTGCTGCGCTACAGAACTGTCGACTCAGTAAGTCAAGGTAAAAACAATGATGAGCAGAGCAAACACTTGGAAATGATTGAATGGAATACGAATCTAACTGTCTTTGCCGCCCCCATGTGGGCGCACTCACTCTCAAGAAAGGACGTGCTTGCCGCGCACCATTGACGACAAAATCATTACAGAATAGTGCATAAATAGAACGGGTGGAAGTTTCGCCCGCTAGTCTCCGCGACCGCGAAATGCCGTATCTGAACTGACCCCGCTTCTACTTGTGGCGAGCCATAGTGCCTTCATTAAATACTCACACCTTCGTATTCCAGTGCCCTTAACATCACCTGGAGCCTCAGACAACCGGCCACCAACAAACTTCTTCCTCATGGTCCTTGGACCCGTTCTAGATCTGCACTCATGGGGCAAGTATTGTATTGTATGCATCGTGGGGTACGCCAGCATTGTGTTTAGAGGGGGGACTAAAGGCTCGTTAGCACGGATATAGTGCACTTCCGTAACAACGACTATTTCTAGCCTATCAAAACCATATTAACTGTAAAATTGGTGGAGCGTGAACAGATGACTGACGACAACCCTGATGAAAATGTGTCATATTATTTGTACGCAAAAGTCTGACGTGTGCAAGCATATTGTTCTCATATAAACAATGTGGCATTGGGAAGTTGTGGCATTAAAAGTAGTAACACACGACACGGCACTCCAGGTTCTCCGAAGGCGGCTTAAAATGAATAGTTGTTAAGCGAGAGTGTCCTTGCACGCACAGATTGTCCGAACAAGTGCAACAGAGCAATATGCAGAGGTGATCAGACCTCCCTGCCAGCTCAAAAGTGCTGCTGCCTGGGTGGCCGCGCCGATCCAGTCTTGCAGCGCGCCCTTAGCTCAGTGGGCTGTGCCGCAGCGACGGCATCACACCGTTTCTTTCGTGGGCCTTCAGTGCGACTAACTGTCCATCCGCACGTATGCCAGATAGCCGTCTAGCGGTCTGCATCAAACGGAAACCTCAGCACCTCGAACCGTGCCCCCCTGCACGTGAAACTGTTGGCAGAATGCGCCGACTAGCGGAGCTTGCCTGTCATGCGTAAGACGGCTGGAAAGTCAGTTTGGTTCGCTTCGAATCAGCCCACGGTCATGAGGAAGTGAACCAACGTGGCCATCCGATGTACTCACGGGCAAGCACTCTCAGTGTAGTGGCGAGCTGGTCGGCCCCGCCGAAAATTTCAGCGCCCTGGGCACTAAATGCGTGAAGCAGAAGCCAAACCGCCGCAATAAAGGGGTCCAAACACCGTACGAATCGTACGAATCGTAGCGCAGTTGCTCCGCAGTCTCCATCCTCAAGTTGACATTTTGCAACCCACCTCCCATTCCAATATGAACGGGCGCAAGACCTTCTGGTCCATTTCTCAGTCGCTCACGCGTGTTCAATTCGACAAACGCTTTATTCGTAAGCTATCGCGAATTGGGTTGTGGATTACCGATGTATATTCATGTTTGTGCATGCAGGCTATCACCTGCTGTAGCTGCGTACAGACATTCTAAGGGCAAAAACGATGTCCTGCGTGCACCGACTTGTTTTACCCCCGTGATGCCAATGCCGTGTGCAGCTGGACACACTTAAGTCCGCTGTAATCACGTAGCTGTGATGTCAACGATGCATAGACGATATCCTGGCCACAGTTCTCATTTGCATGCACAAGTTCCACTTCAACACGCATCCTCGTCAGCCCCTTAGAGAGCCACACGGACCGTTCGAAGGTGTACGCAAGCACTGTCTCGTTATGGCTTAGCGAAATTGAGTTGACCATTCGAATTCGCAGCAAGGAGGCCCAAACGCTCGACTTGTATTGAACTGCGCCCGCAGGACACTTCTACTGTTTGATTCTGTGGCGCGCCGAGGCCATGCTGCTGCTAGAATCACAACTACAGCCGCCTCGTGGGCGTCGCCTCAAGCTTTTATGGCTCGCGATGAAAGCGTTGTGAAGTATTGCAATATACTATGCGCCTTGGTAGCGACGTTGTAGTCGGGGAAGTATCGCATCCTAGCTAGCTTGATGTCTCCCTGCAAAACCGCAGAACCCCTTACTGTGCAAACATCTGTCGGCACCGAAACATGTAGAAACATCTAACGAAGAAGCGCACAGACTAGTTTGCTTGCACTCTAGCATAGCTTCCATGGCTTCGAGGGCAGCTTACCTGAACCGCTTGAAAGAGGCGAGCGTACGGGTTCTCAGGTAGATCGAGAGACTTCCCCTCTTGCACGCCGACCTCCAGAATGTTCTCCAGTCCCCTTAGAATGGCTTTGCAGAGCTTGAGACTGCCGCTGTTGGAGGGGTCACTTTCGGACACCAGTTCCAGCATATCAGCGATCAAATGCAGGCAGGGATTCGATCCAGTCAACGATAAAACACATGGCTCATCTGGCTCTTGGGCGAAGTACACCCGCGAAGAGCCCCTCCCACGGTCCAAAAAGGAGGGTGCTCGAGTCGTGCAGCACACAATAACCCCTACTTGCCGCGGGCTTGCCCGTGACAAGCAGGCGCAAACAGCGTACGCCGCCTCAATGCGGGTGTTGTAGTCTGGATCCACTTGGAAGATCTCCAGCAACAATGGGAATGCCTGAGTATCGATGATTGCCTGCACATTCCACTTCCACATACCAGAGAGTATATTGTCAACAGAAGAAAGTCATCCCACTTCAGCCGCATAAGTTCGTGATGTATAGGCCCTTCAAACCCAAAAGCAGCCAGCTCCCTTGCACCTACCTGGACTTGCGTGGGCGTCTCGCACCCCAAGTTTCCAATGGTGTTACATGCCCTGGCCCTAGCCATGGGGCTGGAGACGGCGGGATCTGTCAGCACCTGCACCATGGTGCTTACAGTTCCCATGCCGATAACGAGGTCGATCTGTTGCGTCGTGCCGATGAAAGCAATGCGGGCAGCAATTGAAAGAGCATCAAACACGACGTTCTCGTCCGAATGACACAGCAGTTTCATGATATGAGGCATGGCCGTAGCCTCCAGAACTGCGGAAACACCTTCGGGACTGTCACAAAGAGTCACGCATGCGTTGCACGCCAGCGAAAGACTGGCGGGATTTTTCGACTCCGCCATGACGCGTACGAGGAACTTGAGCACTGTCACCTTCATATCTGCGCTGCAGAAACGGGGGTGCACAAGGGCTTCTACACATCGGACTGCCTCAACGCCACGGTCTAAATTTGCACAGCGGAGAACAGCTGGCAGCACTAGCGGCCTCCGGACGAGAGACAAGTCCTTCTCGTGCTTGAAGTCTAGCGCGATTTTCGTCAAAAAGGAAAATATTGCAACACGCAGCTCCACACCACCGGGAGAATCAAGAGTCAGTTTCTTGAGAATATCTACAATGGCATCCAACAGGCTTGAGGAAACAACGCGCAAAGTCTGCGCGAAGGTCCCGCGGCACAGCCGCTGCAGCAGCAGAATGGATTCGAGCTGCAGGTGGGGGTTCGGCATGCGCAATGACTCGATGACATGCGGCACAAGATTCATCTCCACGAACTCATCGATAGAAACGTCCAATAACGGACCGCTCCGCAAATCCGTGCCACTGGGCAGGGTGCCTAAGGAGGAAGTTCCCCCAGCATTCACAACTGCTGCCTCCTGCCGGCTGCTGAGGGACCTCCGGTATGCTTGTGTTGCCTCGAGCCGCAGTGCAATATCTGGAGACTTAAGGTTTGTCATCATGCGGACGCCGTTGTCAAATGTCAAGGAGGAGTTGCCCAGCTGACTCACAAGACTGTCCAAAGCATTCTCCAGGGAAGCGGTTGCTGCGCATGCATCGTTGAACGCGCTTGTCGCTGATGCTGGAGACCCAATTTGGGTTGCCTCCTCCTTCCCTCTCTCATGCCCCGTCTGCATCTCCTCCTGCATATCTTGCTGCGACGTTGCGTTGCTTAGGGCTTCCTGAGGTGGCTGTTGTTGCTGCAGACCCTGAAGACCCACAAGAGCGCCCGATACATTTCCCGCAGCCGCATCTGGTTCAAACGCAGGGGGCGACTGAATGAACATGCTGGAAGATGAAGCGGGGGGAACTTGCGGTTCACTCCCTGGTGAGGGAGCCGGGGGACTGAACCCCATTGTTATTATTCACCACAGGCGGCAAACCACAACTGGGTCTGTGGACCGGCGTGCACGGGCGACATGCAGGCCCGTGATCCGTAGTCAACACTATACTCGGCTACAAACCCGACGAGGCTGTGCGGACTGCAGATGACTGCTGCCTGCTGAGACGTAGGGACAAGAACAGCTGTTGCTAACCGATGCAGACAAGAGCCACAAAAGGTGGCAATTTCAAAGCCAGTGCAACACTCAAAAAGCAGCTGACGCCACTCCTTGGGCGTAAGCAGATGCACATGCTCCGAGCTACAGACGATGCAAAGCTGCCGTGTAGCCCCCTGGAGAGCCCAGATAAGCAGCTGCGAGAGGCATGGATCAGAAGCCAGTGCCTCCTCTATGCATGCAAAGCCAAGTAAAGCAGTTGTGCATTCAAGACAGAACTCCCCATTGCGGCATATTTCTCAGCCCCAGCGATGCTGTTTGTCAACGGAAAGCGAAATCTTTGGTGGTTCAAAACAGAGCTGCGGCAGTTGTTTCGCAGAAGAATAAATCGTTCCACAGTAAAAAACGAACAGTGCTGTTGTTTTCCGCTGGATAACCTGTACAGTCCGTACTTGGAGGGGGCGAGCGATCATAACGCCCGCTACACGCGTCGTGTCGTTTCGCAACGGCTTTTTTTCTGGGTGAGGCGGTGGCAGTGGGGGATCTATAGGCTTTATGAACTCAAGTCAGAGTGCTGAGTCCGCAACAGAGCTGCGTGAATACAGATGAGGGCGCGCTAAGAGGGCTGCACGCCTCGCCTCGCGTGCATGCTTCATCCTTGGTCTACTGTACTGCCACCCCTGCCGACACGGTAGACGACCCCACCGCGAACAAACGGCCCACCAGCCAAAGTTTCAGGTTGTTCTTTTTCAGTTCCATAGAACAATTTAACATCTGCGATGTCTTGTGCATTTCCGCTCGCCCCTTCCTCTGCTGAGACTCCCAGCCGCCGACCGAAAGTGGAAGCCTGCACTACACCCGCGTCGACGCAGTGGCGCTGCAAAGAACCACCCAACTGTGTTTTTGAGCTATGAACGGTGCTTGTCTTTTTGAAGCAATGAGGAAAGAAGCGGATAAATGAACCACTAGCAGTGTTGTTTCAGCAGTGCTGCCAATCCGCCTCTTGTAGGTAGTGGATGAGTGTAGGATGGTCTGTCTGAAGCTGGTACATGCGTTTTTACTTCCTTTCAGGGCGGCTCCTGTGGGCCACGTAAGATTTCGACACTTGTATATGGTGTTCGTGCACCTGTCAAAATATGGCTTGGGAATGCCTGCATGTGGGGTTACTCTGTAGACGGAGTTCCAGCAAGGTGTGCTGCAACTCATAGCGGGCCGTTTCCTCTCCACGTCATCCCCAGGCCCTTGTGCCGTTATGCCCAGGACACCTGAGACTGGAGGGGGGGTCGACGGCGCTGTTGAACTCTCAGTTTAATTATCTTGCTTTCGCTGCAGCTCACGACGTTCCTCGGCTAATCTCGATAGCCCTCGGCAGGTTCCACCCTGCCGAAAGATAGTAGACTTGTGAATCTCTATTCGTCCTTCTTATATTTATATAGAATTGTTAGCTAGGATGTCAGAGCATCTGCGGTTGAGTGGTTGGACAGTTGCCCGCTGCCCGCTAGATTAGTAAAAGCTTGGACTCATGTATTTCAATTATTTGGCGATCCTTTGGGCCTACGTATCACGCGAACTGCAGGTTATCGGATTGTGTAGCAACTGTGCTTTTAAATACCCTAGTTGTTGACAGTTTTAGGTACTCCCCAAAGACGCGTGCCTGCTTTCTACTGGGGTGAGCAAACGTGCTTACTTGCCTCACATTCAGATATAATTGGAACGCCTGTCTTTCATATGAAATGGGTATTGAGCCGTTGCTTCATCAGTGTAGGCATTGCTTGCGGCTGGTGGGGTCTTTCGTTTCACGCTGACTATTCCACTGCTTTCAGAATCGGGCCGGCGCTTTGCGTCAGTTGCTCTTTTAGCATCTGCCTGCCTCAGGTCTGCACCTGTTTGAGAGGCAATTGGAATTCATGAGGCGCTTTCTGCGCATATACTTCGGCACTTAGCGACGAGTGGTGTGCTGGACTTGGTGGAGTGTCTTGTTTGCGAATTCTCAACTTGTCTTCGTTTTTGTTTCACACCAACATAACCCTTTCGAAGTTGATGCGGTTTTTGGCCTAGGTAAAGGAGGAATTGCTTGACGTGTATCTCACCGAGCAAAGATACTCGCTAGCAGCTCTCAGTCTTGGCCTAGCTCGTGAGCTGAGATGGTGAGCAAGTGCTTATTTTTAGAACATGTCAAAGAAATAGCTTTCCTCCTCCCCTCCTGTCTCAGGCGGTGCTGAAGACAGGCGTATGATTAGCAGAGGAAATGGGAGTGAAGAGTGTTGCATCCTCCGCTGCTGCAGCTTATCTCCCACAAGAAACTCTACAGGCGAACACTCGAAGCGCTTTTCGCAAGCCTGCATGGACGCCGTTGCCAGCTCTCGAATGTTTGTTTCGCTTCCAAGAGCGGACTTGCGCACAAGCAGGCACACATGCACCTCTGTGGGGTAGGCACTGCTGCAGACACCTGACAGGCCTACGCCTTAGAGAGAGTACCCCACTTGCTTGTTCTTGATCTACAACGTTTACTACGGGTACAGGATTGCCAATCTTTCAGTTCTCTGTGATAGGGGACAAGAAGTGTCAGAAGAACGAGAGAACTAGAGCGCTTGATGCACTAGACAAAGATATTTGTCACTAAAAAGCAGAGAAGCGGTATTTCCTCATCGTGGCTGGTCGGATGAGAGACTCACTGCAGCTGCCGCTGAAGAGGAGTGCTTCCTCATGACTTCAAATTGTGTTTTTGCCTACAGAAACAACCTTTTTCCCAGCGAGGTTGCCCTGCTCCCCGACGGGGCTGTTGTAGGATGTTGTGAACGGCACAAAAGGGGTACGAGCGTGACATGGCGGTGTCTTCAGTGCAGTTCATGTAATGTACCTGCAGTAGAAGCGTAGAACGCGCGTTAGTTCTGTCTATCCTCCACTGGGAGCGGAAATGTACGAACCTCAGGACCAGCTACATGACAAGGCCAGAGAACACCTCACAGCCAACATACTATGTTGGCTATGTAGATGGTGTGAACAAGATGCGGTTCTATGTGGCTTTCCCCTGGTTTTTGTTGCAATGTGAAAAGTTTCCTAAGGCTTCCTTCTACTTCATGGGGTTTTGGCGCAGTTGAGACCTTGGGCTACTGCCAAGATTAAGTCAGCTGATGAAGCGGGAAAAAGAGTCGAAGAGTCCGTGTCGGAAAGCAGTGGACAAAATACTAGAAGAGGAGGGCAGTGCAAATTATACGGCAAATATATCCTTATGAGAGTCTGTGAGACAGGGGCACTTTCCAGCTGGAAAGTATAACTGGGGAAATTTTCACATGAGAGGATGCAATTAGTTGCAGTGTGTACATCTAGGATTTCACTTTCCTTTGTCATGTCTCTTTCCCGTGCGCAATTTCTGATGTCGTGGAACTGTCCGTTTCTCACATGGGACCACATGGGGTAATGCTACTATATGAACTGCAGCATTTGAACCCTGGCAGGGGGCCGCGTAAGACTGAGAGTGAAGAGAAACTTGGAATCTAGGGAGCCTAACTGGGTCTCCTTGTATAAATCTGGCAATCGCATATGTGCTCCATCATCGGAAGGACACAGTGGATAACATCCATTAGTAGGGGCAACGATGTGTACAACGATAATTGTAAGTAACAGTGCGCTCTTCTTTAACCCTTTCCGCAAGCAGGTGCTCGCACTGGCTGGCGGCGATACCGAGATTTTTGAGTCTTTCAGGGTCAGCACAAATGAGTTGCAAGAGGCGTTGATATTGAAGCAGTAGAGGCGGGCAAAAACTGAGGAGCCACACTTCAGGAGAGAAAGGGAAACTGATTTAGGTCCCACAAAGGGCATCTCCTAGTTTGGAGTACACTTTAAACTGTGTGTCGATGCCCTTCGTGCTCGTTGCTGCTCAAGGCACAGGCAGAGTAACAGCAAGCACTGGAAGTTGCTGCTAACAATAAGCAGCCTTGCCCTTCGATGCACGTGTTTTTGAGTCGGAACAATTGTTTTATTTCAAGGGAGTACTTAACTATTGATAAATACGTTAGGAATGTCTCTCGTTTCAATTCATAGCTCGCGCAGGACGCAAGTGACCTCTCTGACGACAGGCACTCACCCACCCCACGCGCTGCCGTGTACCGTAGATCTTCAGGATAATCTCATTCAATTTCCACAATAAAATCTGTTATCAAAGTGTCTTAAACCAAAGGAAGCGTTGCTCTAATAACATTAGGGGAAGCTACGAGAAGCTTGTGCTGAACGTGGAGGGGCTGCAGTAGAGCTTCGCGGACTCTGGAACGGCGCGGCCGTCGTCACCATGAAGGCAAACCGCTGCTTCCCGCCACCGTTATCAATTTCGTTCAAAGTTTTCTTATGTTGTGTTTACCTCTGAATCCCCCCTTGGAGGAATATCATGCCGTTTCAACCCTGGTGGGCCACTTGATGTGCAGTACTAAGAGCAAGGAGCGGTATCAGTGTGCCCTGCGAGCGGAGTCCGCCGGACACTCCTAGCCCACTATTGGCTGAGCCAACGTGTCGGTTTTAAGTCTCCCTTTTGAGGTCTAAGATATTTCTTCCGAGCCGCAAATAGCTGCAGCCTAGACAGGCAGCTGCTACAGCGGCAACGGAAACACGCGAGTGGTCCACGGGGTGAACGATGGGAACAACTCAAAGCCATGAAGCAGCAACGGCCGTTCTTGGCCCCAGACAAGCTGTGCATAAGCCTTACAAATCAACTGCTATCCCTCCTGTACAGCGGTCTCACTCTGAATCGGGCGCACTACACTCACCCCTTTCGACCGTTTGTCCGAGCAGGATAAAGTTGAATGGGTTGCCCGCAGGAGACACCACCACCTGCTGCACGACAACCTGCAACAGCAGCCTCAGCGGAGTGAGCTCGAGCCCAGTTACGCGCCCAACAGGTCTTGTTGGCAGTACAAATGCCACTGCCATTACGCTGCGTAGCGGGAGTCCTCTTGAGCGCAGTGACAGTGCCCAGGCAGTGAGCAGCATCGCAGGCCAGAGCCCCCGACAGTTCGCCCCGATCGACCTAGAATATGCAGAAGTGGACACCAAGAGGCCAGCAACGAATGCGAGCAGGTGGAGTCACCGAAACCGAGTGCAGAAACTCCTGAGAACGCTTAGGCATGGCGTTGATCGGTCTCGGTCTCAACCGCCGCCTGGAAGCAGCAGTCATGAACATCCTGTAAATACTTTAGCTACGGCCAATGAAAGTGCCTCAATATCTGCTGCTCTTCATGCCCACATCATCCGGGAAGAGGAGGAGCATCGCCGCAGGCGGCATAGCAGCCTGGCGGAATCGCACTCGCAGATATCTGCACCGCAGACTGAGCATTGGCCCCGCTACCCCCTTGAGCCTTTTGCAGAAAATCGTAGCTGTCTGTCGCCTGCCGACGCCAGAGGTAAAGCCGCTATCTGTTGTAGTTCATCTCCCGGAGGCAGCGAAGCAGGCCTTTCGCTCCGGTCCAGTGAAACACAAGAAATGCAAGTTTCGGGCCAAGCGGTTGTGCGCAAAGCCTGCAGGAGTCGAGCTTCGGGAAAGGCGCACCGCACGGACTTGGGCGCCAGCCGGTGGATAGCTGACGTGCCAACAAACGGGAGATGGGAAATGGAGAGAGGGATATGGAATCGTCAAGGGGTCCACTTAAACCATCTGAATATTGCAGATGAAAGATTTAGAGCACTCGCAGCAACGCGACGCTTGTCGCCACGGCAGCACGCTGCTCAAACACAAGGCTTGCACTCAGCAGTGAGCAAGGGCCAACAAGGCCCCGTTCACCAACCCCGCAGAGTTCCCATTGCACCGCTGGCGGGGATCCTGCAGGAGAACCAACAAAGGCTTTTGCAACCAGGGCAGCAGGTGATGCCTGTGACACACAGAGGAGTAGCAGCAGCTACGACAATTGAGCTTGCCAGGAGCAGGCATGCGAACGAAGAACGGCGGAGACAGCAGCACTGTCTCATCGCCTCCCCTGACCCAGCGCAGAGCACGCCTGCACCGACAGATACCCATCGGAAGCACGATGGAGCAAGTTGGACCGCCCGCAATTTATCGACAGGTAAGCATTTGATATACGTGTACTCTGTTCAGAAGAGAGTACAAGCAATTGATGTCCATGCCTCGAAGGGGCTGGAGCTGGTGTCATTCTTCTTTGGAGGCTTTCTGCACGTTACAGGTGGAGGGGAGAGAAATTGCGGCTCTTCTTTGGGGAGGGAGCAGGCTTCCGCAAGGAACTTCATCTCCGCAGATCTGCACGGGGCAGCCTCAACAGATATTTCAGTGCCAGCCCCTTGCTTTAGCCAGATTTTCGCGGCAAGAGCCAAGCAGAATGACACATCTTTCCCCAACACAAGTGACCAACCAATGCAGTCGGAGACGGGAGACGGTACGAAGGCAAAGATATTGAGGTGCCCAGATATGGCCACTGCGCTGCCTGCACCTGCTAGTGGGCAACACAGACAGCAGGTTCGTTTCATTCCTGCGGCAGAAGCGAAGCGCCACTGCCTTCATATTTCCTACCCATCAGGAACAGCGTAGAATAACCACCTCTCATGTGCGGCAATATAGTCTGTAGCCAGCTGCCCTGGGTTGCACTACAGCGCATACATCGTCTTCCTTACGAACAAACGCACTAAGGTAAGCGCTTCCAGTTCCTTGGTACTCAAAGCTGTTCTTCCGTCCCTGCGCCTTTGAATTTCTATCTGAGCAGGAGGACAGAAATGCACTCCAGCGTCCCCATTGGACAGCGGCGGAGAAGTCTCCCGCAAAGGTTTGTCTGTTGAACTGTCAGGAAGCTGATACATCTTGGGTAAACTCTTCGTCATTTGCCAACGGCTGGGCCGTGCTGCGTGCAAGCGGCACCAATAAATGAAAACAGAGTAAGGCTATAGTTGGATTGTATGGTTGCTTATGCCTTCAGAGCCACGGCTTCCGCGGTCCTCTTTCCAATCCTGCGATTCTATCTGGTTCGCGAGCTCTGCAAAGAAATGCCTTCGTGGCGAACCCGCGTACTCAAGTGGGGGCCCCCAAGAGACAATCCCGTTGATGACGAGATAGGTTTGCTTCCAGTGAACGGGCTGGCCAGCCAACAGCTATGGAATGCCAAGTACAGTGTGGATTGAACAGGGCATGGCCGACTTTACACTCGCCACGAGACACCATCAAAAGCTAAACGTGCAAGCACCACTTTGAACGTACAAGGCAGAAAAACACCGGACCGCCTCCGGTGCAGGGAGTGACACGTGGGCATGTTGCGAAGATGTGAAACAGGATCAATGTGCCCCACTGGCGCAGCGCCTGTATTCATTGAGACAAAGCTTAAACGTGCGGAATGCTTAGACACAGAATATCTCCACTACGTGTTCTATTATTTGCATCCTTTAGAGAATAAACCTACACAGCCGTCGGTGGGATGCCGCAATCGCCAGTAAATCAAGAGCACTTTGCGCAATGCCCCGGGCAGAGCCAGGAGGGAAAAGCACTTAGACTCCCCCCCACACCCGTTTAAAACTACGGCACATCGTTCCGTCTCTAAAAGACCCTCTAAGAACTCCGCAACATATAGGTTCTTTGGGCTACAGTAGGGTTTCGCAGCATCCCTTGCGGCTTGCATTAACCACTGGCAATAGATGAGAGTGGGTCCGGCTTAACGCACTAAGGGAATTAGTAGACGGGTTGCACCCTCACGCCCAAATTGTGCCGCAAAGAAGAGAGCAATCAGAACAAAATGCGCCACATGGCAGCTGAAAGAAATGCCTGACGAAATCGCATGTGAGCTGACAGGGCATCGAGCTACGGGAGCGGCACGAGCTTAACTGCCCTGGTCGTCAGCTAGCCTAACTGTATACAGACCGGACAGAGACACTGTTCGGTCTGTTAACACCACTGATGCTCTCGTCCCTGTGCAACTCGCACTGCAGTACAGCGCAGTGCAGCGACTACAGCCGCCGCACTGCGTCTCCCGGCCCCGCGGCGCCAACAGGTGCAGACAACCAGCGAAGGAGCATCGGTACTCTCCTGAAGCAGCTATTTTGAAGTGGTCGCCGTCAAGAAGTCACAACGCCTCCACTTTCATCACTTGGCCATCTCCCTACTACAACTCGAAGAAACATGTCAAGCTTCTTAATGTTTCTATTTGCGTGCACCCACAGCTAGGCGTCTTCACCGCAGCGCTGCGGAGTCATGGAGTAGTTCTGAAGACGGCTCGGGTTTTGGTGGGGCCGAAGCGGGTGTAGGCATAAGCCGAGTCCATAGAGAAGAGGAGCCTCCAGCGGCTGCCTGTTGCTGCAACTCCTCATACTCTTTCATCTGCTGGAATTGCTTTCGAGGCGTCATTGTGGGCGTCCCGCGCAGAAACATCTGCCCGCAAAAAAAAAAACAAACGACCAAATACCAAATAAGACAAACCTACTTGAGTGTTGGGCACAAGGAAAAACCCAACTTCGTGAGCAGCACGCAAAAAAATAAGAGTAGACATCGACGTGGAGACCCAACAAAACTCAGCAAATGCGCGTTGTTTTAATACTTTTCTACAAAACAAATACACATTTGCTCCTATAAAGTAAGGCTTATCCGCTGCCATACGCACTGATCTAGAATATTAATACACTCCAAAAATACAGTGACGTGAACACATTACAGACCCATATTCCTCCAATTAAGAGAAAGGGTAAGCGCTACGAAAGCTAAGTATGCGTGAGGAAGATGCTCCAGTTTCGTTGCGTAGGCTTGCATGTATGGCCTTACGATTTGCACCACTTCAATAATTCCAAGGAGGATTCCTCCAACTGCCGCATTTCGAGCACAACTTCTCCATCCAGATCGCATGGACAGAACCCCACCAGTAGCTGCCCCTGCAATAACAGGGTTCCAGGAGTCTTCCTTCCCTCCTCTGGCGTAGGCCAGTGTGCAGTCGAAGGCACAAAATATACCGCCCCAAGTAGCGAAGGCCGAGCCCACCGCTGGAGACTTCAGAGTTCCCGAAAACATTGCCCCGTTGAATTTCTCGTACTTGGGAGAATTTCGCCAGCCTTTTGCAAAGTGCCATAAAAAGCCCCCCAATGCGCCCATGCCAAAGGCGCCCCCCATGTCATCCAGTATGCGGTCTGGGCACGGTTCCCTGTTCAGGTCCCGCCGCGACGCCATCGTTAGAAGACAGAATTACAAGGCAACGGAAGAGACGAAAAGACGCGTCAGAACCCGCAGCAGAGACTGTATGGCCTCCAGCCAATGGAAGCAGCGGGTGCCCTAGACAAGCCCACGCAAACGAATACGCAGTAAGATTCGGCAAACAAAAGACACCCACGTTACACTAGGGGATCGTCTCCTGGTTCTTCAGCGTCTTCGGATGCTTTCCTTGGAGTGTCTTCAGTTCCTGCAACAGCGCGGCGCGGACAGCGGGGCCGTTGAACTTCAGTCGACTCACGGTTTTTCCTCCCACAAGAATGATCGGTACTTCCTCTCTGAGATGCTGTACATCCCCCTCACATACGCCTAAGGTCTCACGAGCTTCGGCAGAGTCCAAGCTAGCCAAACCTACCCTCACCCGACCCTGCAGTTGTGCCTGCGCTTGCAGGTCTTGAGACGAACCACCACTGAGATCTCCCCTTTCCCCCCCTTGCACGGGGGACGCTGGATGTGACTTGTTATAATCTAAAGATGGAACAGCAGGTGGCCCCTTCTTTGCTCCAGAAGCTGCTGACCGCAGTGGCACTCCAGCTCTGTAAGCTATGCTCCCCAGGGCGGGTAAAGCGTCGTCTTCTCGTGATCTTACCTGCAAGCCCAGATTCGTGTCTCTAAGACTCGGCACAATGCGCGCACCCACAGTCAGGGCCCACGCGGATGGTAGATTGTCGGGCAGACGCTCGTATGCCAGTGGCGGGACGATAGAGGATATGATCCTTCTAATTGACAACAGCGCCTTGGCGCACAAAGTGCACCGGTCTGTTCCAACTACGATAACATTAATAACAACTGGATCGTCCGCCTCTACAGCGTCGACAAGAGCAGCTCTCGGGCAGCCGCTGTGAAGCCTCGAGCCTACGATTGCGTCACGTGCTCGGCTGTTGGCGAATCCACAGGGACTTCCGACGCAGATTCGAGATGCGCTGCTTGGAGCAAACAATTCAAGCATCCGTACACTGGATTTCAAAAATGCATTTCGCCTGCAGGCAGGCGAACAATGGCACCACCCCACGAGCAGCCTGCGGGGCCCGAAGCATGCGATCATCAGCCTGATGTTTGATCTTTCCGCGTTCTGTGCTTTCGGCAGAAGTCTAAGCACCAAAACCAACTGTGCTGCTTGAGTTAGTTGTAGTAGTAGTACTCTAAAGACGCAAGAAACATGACTACGGGGGGATCTGCACTTCCTTCCGCGCCAGCCCCGTGGACCAGCGTATGAGTTTCTCCACTAGATACCTGTTGCTGCCGCTATTGAACAGGGTTGCAGACGTATTACCAGCTTAACTGGCTCAGGCGAATTATTCTGGTGAGAGTGTCTCCTACTTGGTGCGTACTCGTGCTGTCCGGCGGAACGCACAATGACTAGGCGATGTAGACGGAGCCGGTGAGGGTGAGGCAGCGGATTTGGATTTCAGCAGAACGTTTCTATAGAGATCTCTAAATTGCTGATGCTTCTGTGGATATACTTTTCTATAACTTACTCCTCTCACTTGCATAGACTGTTGACTAGCGACCGTAATCCGGCAATATGGGCATATTCTTTCGCGATCGCGAGGAGGACCTGGCGGACCCTGACTTGAGGGCGTCTCGTTATTTTCTGTTTAAAAATAAACAGACAAAGGAAAACAAGCTCAAGGTTGCGGAGAAAAAGTACGGTTACACTCTAGGTGAACTGCATGCATATAAACACGTGATGATTCCCCCACGAATGCCTGAACGCATGGAACAGGCCAAGCCAGAGATGGCGTATGCCTATGACCAGATTCAGAAGCTCGTTGCGACTGAGGTTTACGAACAGCAAACAGAAAACCACTTCGCCACGATGCCCCCGCAGACGGCTAGTAAAGGTTATCCTCCCATTGCCCCCAGCGCCACCGCTGCATACGCCGCTTCTTCAAATGCCAAGAGCCGCCTTCCTGAAGAAGGGGACGGTGCCAATGGACCTAATACGGTGGATGAATCCTGTATCAAGTGCCTCGGCTATTACTTGGCACTGGACAGATGCGTTCGAGCGGTGTCCAAACAAGACGAAAAGAACCGAATCTACAAACATACGCGACTCCATGCTTGCAAACCTCACTGGGTAACTTATGCTGCATAGACATGGGTAGCTCTGTGTAACTTCTTCTGGATTGCAGTTGATAAAGCAGAGCAAATGCCGGCCTGTATTGCCCCAAAGTAGCTCTCATTGTCACCCCTTGCGCACACCCCGACTGATGCCGACGCCGTCGTCGTTCATTGGTGTTGCCGTTCTGTTTTTCAGATTTGGTTTAATAGATGCGTTTCTTACCGGGACCGGCAGTTGTTGAGGGAAATCCACTCATGGGAAGCGGAGCATGTCTCTTCTTTGGGGCCTAAGCAGAGGTGCGGCGTATGACCATCTGCCCTGTCGCGAACCCGTACCATGTACATACACTGCAAAGTATGCACAGTTTGATGCACACCAAGGGTTACTTTAGTACGGAAACCGGAGGTCTACGTCTACACTGTACGAAAGTTGCGCATGCATCAATACCTGCGGCGGGTGTGTAGTGGATGGGCCTGGCCTGAAGTGGTGCCTGACCACCTGACCAGTCGATGCGTCTGTTTGATCATTTGCTCGTTAGCTTTTAAATTCCATTTGGTCTGCGCATCAGGGAGGAGTATGTAGAGCGGCTTCTCGGGACGAAGAGGTACCTCGAAGTATGTCGTGGGTATTTTTTGCTGTTTCTTTAAAGACCCTGCTGCTCTCAGTAGCATTTTCACATGGATGCATTTCCAACCAAGGCTTACTTGGTGATCTTACACGAGAGGGACAACATAAGGATGCATAATTCATGGCACTTCCCTCACTTCACTGTGCCTGCGGCATCCTCCTTGGACTTGTTTTTCTTGCGTGGGTTTGCTGTGTCTGCAGTACGCGGCGGCGCGTTCCCGTGATGAAGTGGATGTTGTGAGGTGGGCTGTATGCTGCATATGCTGCAGCTGTTTTGATTCTGGTGCTTACATGTCGCAAGTCTGCAGCTCCATGCAAATTAGCAACTCAGCATTGGGAGGTTAGTACTGCTGCATCTGGTTGCGCTTCGACACAGGATTTGCATGTACTGTTTCTTCATGCTCAGGCTGAAGAGGGAGGCGAGCCATATCATAGCTCGACTAGACAAACTGAACAGAGGGTGAGGCTCCCACTGAGAAGACCACCGGGACGCCTGCTCTTAGCCCTGGTGGCCAGTCTTCGCTCCGCAGACAGACTGCTCGTTCTTACGTGAACCCTGCATGCAAAACGCTTCGATACTGCATGTCGTCTGCGTGGACGCTGCAAGAAACTTCTTTGCGCGCTGGGTGTTGCTGCCCTTTGCCATCGGCAATAGCAAACCTACTAGGCATCGAGCGCGAGACCGCACTGGGTCCTAGTACTGTGTGAGTAAACATAAAGAAGTGTTAGTGCGTGAAGTCTTTGCCTGGTCGCATGCATGCGGAGAGACGGCTGGGTGAGATGAGAAACGGACTAGAAGAAAAGTGGGATTCGGCCACTGGCCCTGCTTAGGTTGACGGATCTGATATGTCTCGATTGCTGGTTTGAGTAGAGAACACGTCTTCCATTCGGCCTCGAAATGAAGTCAACTAACACGTAAACTGTCCCTAAAAAAGCGCTTCGTCTTCGAGGGTCTCCCTGCACTGCTCTGCAGCTGTTTCTCAGAAACTGTCTCGACGCGAGGCAGAGGGAAGACCTGGACGCTGCTTAGCGCCACAAAGAACGCACAGCAGCCCACACCGCCTACACACTCTATCTGTATATAAGCAACATTCTCGAGGAGGCAGAGGCTGGTAGCAACAACAGTTGCCGATGTTACTAGCATGAGCAATCGAGTCTGCACACAGAGGGAGATGCCTAGCGATCACTGCGCAGAGCCCGAAACCATATAAGGGGGACTCCCCCAAAACCCACGGGAAGCACAGAGAACTCAGCACAGCTCCCCCATGATTCCCCATCCACCCGAAGCACCTCACAAGCATGTCGACTTTCGCGGCAGTACCCGTGCATCCAAAAGATGCGTAAGCAGCCCAAATACGCAGTTCAAATGTGCAGGACGCAGTCACACGACACTTGGGCAGCATAGAGGTGACCTGGAATGCAGCTCTGGCTGCGCTTAAATACTCCATAATTCACGTCGCTGACAGTTGAAGCACCACTCGCAGCCAACGAAGGCAATGCGCGTATAAGCGTGCCTTCACGATGCAGTGGAGTGAGTGTGAACAAACATATGTGCAGCAGGCTGCTGCAATTTGCTGTACTCCACTGCGGCACCAACCGCTAACGTTTATTCGAATTACAGCTGCGGAAATACTATTCTACAGCGTCATCAAGGGCTGGGTGGGAATAAAGAGCCGGTCACTTCTGTGGCCGGCGGGTGATGCAGTGGAGTTTGCCTCCTGCGTCATGCAGCACCGAATCCCCCACTCGCGATCGAACGCCCAATCGGGATAAAGGCGGAAACAGTTGCTTGCAACCACACACGGAAAAAGCTGCCTTCAGCTTCAGTCAGCTACAGCCCATGTGCATAGAGTGACAGGACNAGATAACCACAAGGGCGCTGGTGTGGCTTCACACTGCCAACACGCCCGACTCCTTGGCTGTTCGCCAGTGTGGACAAATACATCAAGAAGGGAAGCGCATGAGTTGCAAATAGCCGCCGTCTTATGTTTTCGAAGGCCCTGCATAACAGCACAACGCGCAATATAAAGACTGGTGGAAGCGCCCCATGCCTCCATGAATCAGAGTCATGCGCTGAAGAAACGCAGGTACAAGTGCATTCAAAGGCCCGTTGATGCCATTGTAAGTTTGCCAAACTTGTTTCGTAACCAGCGTACTAAAAAGGACGCCAATGAGAAGAAAGTCGAGAAAATGAAGCCTGAGTCTCACCTGGATAGCATTACGGCGAATGAAGCATGAAAGACCCGGCTAAGCATGTAAAATGCCACGAACCTGAATTCCCACCCCAAGACAGACAAGACCACTGATGCCACCACACCTGACCCAAAAGATATGACGAGGATAATAGCCTCCGGAATGCGTCTGAGGTGCACAGTCAGGGCTATGCAAAACAGGGGAAAAATCAGATGGCCTGTGCACAAGAACACGAGTCCCAAACGACTTCATGGTATGGCTTTACTTTCGAAGCGAAAATGATACAGCTTCCTTCCAATACACTAGTAATGACGGAAATGCCATCATGTCCACGCTCAGCAGATTTGGTTGACTAAATCAACTCATAACGTAGATAATTGGCGTTCAAGCGCAGAAGCCCAAACTGAACTGACGGAAGCCTGTTGCAGGTGCAACCGACAGTGAGCCTAAACCCACCGCTAACGAGAAACGCAAGAACGGCTCCCTTGGGAGGTCTTGGCGCTGTTGTGTTGACAGGTAGTTGGGCCAGGGTGTAGCATCTCTCCACCAACTCAATGAGGCTGAACAGCAGACTGCAGCAACCAGAC